GCATTTATCAGTGGTAAAGTCGCCGCTTCCATCACTACCCGAGACCCACACAATGGATGGCGCTGGGGGCAAGTCACCCACACTATCCCCATACCCTTGCTTGCTAATTTTGTACTTGTAGATACGGCATGTTTGCGATTTTGATTCCTATTGCGTTGACCCCTGTCATCCTCACCCTGCTCTGGGGAGAATGGAAGGCCAAAAAGCAACAGATTGTCAAGACCAAACCCCTCGTCGTCGAAGAACGTGAGGGTGCAAAGGGCGCTGGGGGCAAATGGTTTGGATTTGCCGAAGACGTCGACTTTTTCGGTCTCATTCTCTTGGGTACCGGATGGGCGCTCTTGCTCATTGCGTTGACTCTGTCGGCCAAGGCAAAGGGTGGATGGGACAATCGTGAGTAAACTTGCCGTATCGTGGAAAATTCTAAGTTTCGTAGCTTCCATTATCGCAATGATTGTCGTTGGACCAATCATCATCATCCTCTTTGGTGTCTACGAGGCCAAGTTTGCCAAGTTCCCCATCATTCCTGCTCATATTCTCAAGAACAAGGCAGTCATGGCTGCCAGTTTGATCGGTTTCTTTGATTTCGTGAGTCGTCGACTCGTTTTCTAGACTGTTGCTAACTAGAATAGATCTCATTTTACCTCACTTTCTTGTACCTCTACTCGTTCATCTATGTCACCAAAACTCCCAGATGGTGGGCCCTCATTCTCAACCCTATCACCCTCTCACACCCTTCTAGGTCCCAAGAAGATCAAAACTACTTTATCAACACGCAAAGTGTCGGTTTGACCATTTTCGGTATTTTGGGTGCGGGTATCATGTACTATACGCGCCGCTACAAGTGGCTCCTCTTTACCGGTCTCTGCATCCGCTGCCTGGGTGTCGGTGTCATGATCCACTCGAGAGGTGCTCAGGGATCGTGAGTAATCAACACGACTCGAATTTTTATTCTTGCTAATGGTGTGGCAGGGACGGTGAAATTGTGTTTACGCAAATCCTTCAGGCGTTTGGTGGTGGCTTTGCTGCTGTTGCGTCCCAAGTTGGTGCTCAAGCATCTGTACGACACAAGTACGTCGCAATGGTCACCGCTATCGTGCTCCTCATCACCGAATTGGGTGGAGCCATCGGAAGTGCCATTGGTGCGTTCCTCCTTTTTCAATTCCTCACCCCTCTAACTGCTCGTAGGTGGTGCTATTTGGACGCAAATCATGCCAAGGAATATTGCCAAACATCTTCCGGATGTAGACGAGGCGACCCGCGCCGAACTCTTTGGGTCCATTGTCAGCATCGTCTCTCGCCCTGCAGACGACCCTGTCCGTCTGGGTGTCGTCCAAGCCTATGGTGATACCATGCGCATCCTAATCATTGTCGCCCTCGTTATTGGTTAGTAGCCTCTCAGCTCGTTAAATGCCAACTAACCGTCGTCCCCAGGTATTATCCCCATCTTCCTCTCCTTGTTGATGCCCGACTATCATCTTGGTGACGCTCAGAACGCGATTGACGGATTGGACATTACGGGTAGAAAGGTCGAAGAGGGACAGGAGGCCGACCGTAGTGTGCCTGCCGGTGCAAATGATCCTGACCGCAAACTCTAGTGCTGTAGTGGAGGTTCAACGAAGAAACTATCTTGCTTCGTGTTCGCTCAAAGAGCTCTGTCTCCAATTCGACTGAATCTTACTAATTCGAAAAAAGAAGAAAAAGACCCCATGTGCATCTACTAGTGATATAATGTGATAGCTGTTTTACCATTCAATTTCTGGAGCGAGTATTGTACAGTGATACAAGAGAGAGAAAAAACTAGATTCGTCGCTTTCGATCTACGGCAGATCCCTCTCTGCCACTCTCCGCTTCTGTTCTCGAAGGTCTTCGCGTGCTCAACCCGGATC